TGATAAGGAAGAGATAAGAAAACGTCCACCAAGCAAGTACCTCGATGCAGGCAAGAAGGATCCGCAAAGCCATTTCATGGCAATATTTCCCTCTCAATGGATAGGAGCCATATCTAGTTGCACAAGTAAGATGTGTTCAATGATGAATAAAGTTAGATAATGCCAGAAGCAAGGAGAATATGTTGGTTACTTGGAATAGCATACTTCTCCATTTCCCCCACATAGCACTGCCAAATCAGTAGCAGTACACATTAATATTCCCCCGTCTACAACTGATTGAACAGCAGAATCCAAGAACAGAGATGGTGATCCATAAGGATCAAGATCAACCTGCAAGAACAGTAAGAAAAGAAATATAAGAATGATAGTTCATCTCTAAAGCAGTAATTTTGCTTGTCCTAGGAAATTACTAGATGCACCTCTACAAAAGGTCATTTCCATTGAAGAATGTTATTGTTTTAACCCTACCACATCAAACTCTTTGGGGTGGGTAAGCATATATACTCGAGCATCAGCAAGGTGGGACTCCAGCTTTGAGCATGCCACAGCACCGTTGAATCTTATGTTTCTCCTGCAAGCTTCTACAGAGACTGCAAATGGAAGAAATATTCCAATGATAAACATGACCAAGTCAAATGGTGAAACAACAAACCTTTCTGTCTGTGCAAAATTTGAACTCTTGACACCTTGTTTGATACAGATATCCGCTTGTGAACAAGTATAACAAGATCTATCGTTTAATGACTACATAAGATGCTCTGAAATCTTATATTCACAAGATAGAGATCCTCTCACAAATATTAAAAGTTTTAGGAATCCACCAAGTTAACACTTCTAGTACCTAGAATAAAATGAGGAAATTTAAGCATATGTCTGACTACATAATTGTATTCTAGTCAGATGCTCACACTTAAGCTAGACATTGTGAAACTATTCGTTGAAACATTCTTATATTTCTCTATCAGAATCTCTTTAATCCAATTGTGCAATAGCTTCTCTCCCTTTTCCTCTAATTTTCTTTCCCTTGGTTAAGGAATGGGGGCAGGGTGCAATAAGACTTGCTAATTCTAAATGCATCACGTAAACTGAACTGGAGTCACCTTTATCATTGTCAAGGGCCACAACTTGACCAATTCCTTCTACTTCACGTGCATATCTTAAAGCCCTTAATCCAGAAGCTGAAAGAGCCTGTTAATAAAATTGAAGAACAAATCTTAATCATTGTAAACTTCTATCTTTTAATTCTTACTGAAGACAGATTGAATAACCAGTAAGCCGTTAGCAATCAACAGAAAGTGAAACCTCAAGAACTCGTGCTGGCTTCAGCTCTTCTCGGTCTTTTCCCTGTAGATTTCTGGTCGGCGCCCCTGAGATGCTACATGGTTCATCCGAGGACATCTCTTCCAAGAGTTCATATCCATCATTGGATTTTCCATTATACTGCACAGAATCAGCTGGAGGTTCCATTTCAGAAACTGATTTATCTGGTACTTTAGGGCCAGTCTTCACTCGTCTGTCCAACATTGATTCATGCTCCAGCTTGCGCTGTGATATAAAGGTCCTCAAAACAGCTATAGACATATCTCTATTATTCACCTGGTGTTAATAGATTTAAACTATCAGATCGTGATATCCCAAAGTGAAAAAGGTGACCTGCAGTATGGTGGCTACCACAACCCTTGAAGGTTCCAGTGTAAATTACAAAGTAAAAAGGATACATACTCCTTAAGATGCAATAGTATATCAGTAAAACACAAAAACAGAAAAGTAATTACATGCATTTTCTCTATTACCAAATTAATACCATATGTAATAGATTCACTTAATGCCCAAGGAGATGGCCGGTTTACTTAGGCATAGAAGTAACAACCTTGAAATCTCAGGTTCAAATCCCATTTACAACACTCATAACTTCAATACTAGTCCATTTGCTCCTCCAATGTTATTGGGCAGCTTTCTCCTATATCTGAGCTTGTGGCAAGCTGACTGGTGGATTAGTCAAGGTGCAAACCAACCGGCCCAAATACCACAGCCATTAAAAGAAATCCAAAAATAATATCACAACTTAACCATGCTCTTGCTTCTGCACCACCAATACCACACTTCCCATCTTGTGCCCTAAAATAATGATTAAAATCTTTGTAAGTGACTGTAAATATTTTTAACAGTGACAATGTAGCATACGATCATGTTCATCCTCAGTGTATTAAATACTCCGCCCTTGGTTCTGAAGAGTGTGCTTGAATGACCTTTTTGTGCATGTGGCCTCTATGTGAATCGATCTCTCTGCTGAAGAATGTGAGGCCAGAGAGTCCGTTGGAAAAATAGAAAGTCTCCCTCTCTCCCAAATCTTTCACTATCTCACATGTTACACCACAAGAGCAGTGATTCAATATCGTAGATGTTGCAACTTCTAGTGCCATATATTATATCTCTCACTTGAGACTTCTCAAAGTACAAAAGTTTCTTATATGTTATAACCACTTTCAATAAGAAGTATACTTTCACAATCTCAATTGTCAAAACAGGTATGAGGTCAAACGGCAAGTATTCATAGATAAGCGCCCATGCAATTTTTAATAATACACATAACGAGATTGGAATGCCGTCTACCTAGTACAAGTAAAGAAACAGAAGAAGCAACACACAAATAACGACCTCTTTGGCAAAATATCAAGCAACTATATGACATGATGATTGCAATAGCCACCTCACCAGCTATAAGCTACTTACGAAGGTCACACAAATAAGCCCACAAATGTATTGTTGGTTCTCAGCTAGAGAAGACAGAGCAGTGAGGATTTCCCTGAATCTCTAATGCTAACCTGGAAGGCTGCAACCAAGAATAATTGCAGCTATAGACTAAATGCAATGTCGTATTCTTGCAACAGAAAATCACAGAACAATTTTAAATAATGCAATTGCTTTCCTATTCTGCCAGTTTAATCCCAGAGTGGTACTCAATGCCCGACCTTGTAATTTGATGACAATCTTTGAATTTCAGCAATATCTTTCTGCTTAACTCAAGCTCAAAGCAGTGGCGGATGGAGCATACCATCTACGGGTTCAACCGAACCCGGTATTTTCCACGCGGATTATAGATACATATGTGTAAAATCATTAAAATGTTTGAAAAATATTAAATTTTTTGTACCCATAATTTCTAAAGTATAAAGGGTTGAGTGATAAAAAACTAAAGGTTGAACCCATCAAACTTAAATTGTACATCCGGCTCTGACTAAAAGGCAATGACAATTCAATGATCAAGTTGTCAAATTGACAATGGGAAGAAATCACACAAACACATCCTTTTCCTCGTGAAATTACAAATGTATTAAATACTCTTTCCGTTCCAAAAATAATGACACATCTCTATATCTAAAAATACTTTATCATGACCTTCTCATTTTACCCTTAATGAGAAGCTTTTACAGCCACACAAAGGTTACAATATGTTTAAGACCACTGGTTTCAAAAGCTTCCAAATTTATGTGAAGCACTTTCCTTTTTCCTTTATATGTGATACATTTCTTTATTCAGAAATAATTAACTTTAAACTTCGCATTTTTTAATGGTTAATGAGACAATTTATATTTATAACCAACAAATGCCTATGACTTGTTTTAGACCACAAATTTCACAGTCAAACGCGCTACATAACGGAGGAAGTACTTATTTCTACCAATTTCGCACCCCATAATAACAAATAAGTAATGTCCAGTTTTTGTATTCCACGGACATAAAGGACCCATTTGGCCATAGATTTTGCCAAAATAAATTTGGGTTTTATTTGGCACATGTTTGGCCATAGATTTTGCCTACATTTTGGCAAAATCCCAAATTCCAAAACCAGCTATGTGTTTGCCCATAGGTTTTGCCTACATTTTGGCAAAATACGAAATTTTTAAAAATTGCCCCAAACTTTTGTATTTTATAAAAGAGCACACCATTTAATGTTGCTTCGTCTTCTCGGTCACCTTATAGTGTATCACTTAGTTCATTTTATAATAATTTTGTATCAAATTTAATTTATGTTCAGGACTATGATTTGCGATAATATAATGAATGTTATTGATAATGGTACTGTTGGGTATTTGTGATAGTTTTTAGAATTTGTGGGTATAAGTCGTTGTTTCATGTTTTTTCAAAATAAATTTGGGAAATATATTTCGAAAACCGATGTACAAACACATTTTCATCTTCAAATCAAATTTCACTTAAATCAGACTTTTCAGAATAAATTTGGTAATCTATGGCCAAACGCTAGCAAAATCGTAAATTAAAAGTTTTAAAAAAAAGACCTGGGTTTTGTTGTAAAAGACTTGATTTTTGGAATGCATAAGAATCTCAGCTTCTCCTTCTTTGATGATGGTGTAATCACTGAGGTCAAAGGAAGTGTCTTTCTGCTGCTTCTCTTCATCCCTTGTTTTTTCCTTATCCATTGATGAATTGGGATTTTTCTGTTTTAAAAGCTTGACGAGAGATTCGGTATCCGGAGGATGAACAACTTACCTTCAAGAACCTTAAACCCCTATTTCCACTCTCACTCTATGAAGAAAAAGAGAAAATGTAGAAATGGTACCTTTTGTTTGGGATAAGTTTAACATGGTCCTTTTTAGTTGGAATTGGATATGAAAATTTCTTTAAATTTTTAATTTTCGGATGGAAGAAGTACAATCCAAATTCCATTGAAATAATCTATGACTGGATTGAATTTTTTAAGTTCGATTTTGGATTAATCGGTTTGAATAATTTTTTATTTTGAGTTAAATTGTTTTTTCTAACAAAAATGAATATGCAAATGAAGTATTCATATTAAATTACCTAAAAAGTTCTTCATTCTCACTGCAATCATCCAATAAAGTATTTAAGTAATAAAATTATTATCAAACAAAATGCAATAGTGACATTAATATATCCAAATTATAATGACATTAAGAAGTAACAACAGTAAAATTATATCCAAATAGAAGGTATTATGACAATAATTTAGTAATTAGTATTGAATATATGAGATAGTGTCTAATGACTAGGATATTGAACTTATTACTAGTGGCATATGGATAATTGACTAATGTCTAATGGGTTGCACTAAATATAAAGTATAAAAAATTGGATTTTCGGATATCCAAAAATTCAAAGTACAAATCCAACATCCGATCTGAATCCAAAATTTTAAATTTAAATCTGAAATCCTATTTGCAATCCGAAAATTCAAACCAAAAATTCAAAAAGTTTGAATTTCGGGTTTGCCTAAACTCTGACTTCGAGCAATTTTAGTATTCTATGTTTGTTAAAAGTGAGTATCGTGATCTTCATCAAATAGATTTTATGAGAATTATGAAAATCTTTTAACAAGAAACATGAGAAAAGTCTCAACAAGTCTCAAAAACTGCAATACCAAAAAATTTCACTAGACACCAAAAGATTTAATAAATCAAAAAGTTGAACCAAACCCAGAAGTAGATCAAAAATAGTATAGATAGTATAAACTGCAAAAATTATAGCACCAAATATGAATTTATATTAAATCCTATTTTTAACAATTTCTGTAAATCTAAAAACCAGAGTTTATTAAATTTTTTTTAGAGATCAAAAGTGTTCACTTTTGACAAAACTAAAAGACCAAAATTGCTCGGAACTATATCTAAGAGATCATTTTGAAACTGCCTCCAAACATAAGGGGCCATTGTTATGTTATCCTGAAAAATAATTTAAAGTATTTTTTTATAATAAGAAAAAAAATTCACTGAACAAATACTTTCTTGTGAAAAAAAGAATAATTTGTTCTTGAATTTCAGAAAACTCTTATAAGTAGATTTAGTGAAAGATAGTGTACAAGGAGAGAAAAAGATTATATAAACGATACTATTTAGTTGATAATGTGATTTAGTATGTATATAGATCTTAGATCCTACGCTTTCTAATAGTTTTTTTTGTCTTACTTGAAATTTTCATGCTGGTAAAAATATGGAGAGCATTTAATACTACTTTTTATTTTAATTTTTATTTGTATTTTTATAATGTTGGTTGAGATGAATTTAAATGAAATATATAGTTGTGAAGACTCATATAGCCGTTTCCAATTTATTTGGAATTAGGCATAGTATTTGCAAAAAACTCTTATAAGGGCAAACCTTTCGCACATACTTTTTATTAATCTCAAGTTGTGTTTAGACATAAGATTCATTTAGAAGAAAAAAGTCCGGGGAAGCATAAGATTTATGAGAGAAAACCAATATTTCAATTAAAGTTAAAATACTTAAATACCGTAATTACAATTACACCTAGCAAAATTAGTATTTGCAAGTAATAATTTCAATAAGGAGACTTTTATTATATATAAAAAATAGCAATTAAACGAGTACATGTGGGACTGGGCGGGAAGTTGCAGTCCCAGTTAGATGAAAAGCTAAAGATGATAAAGTAAAGGTTGGGGGATTTTCAAAATAAAATATATCTTGGTTACGTAGATTATCCATTTTTTTGCCAAAGTTTGCTGAGCATCTGCCACTCCAGTACCCTCCCGTAAAGTGTGGTCGATCTATAAGAATCAACCTGCATATAGTAAGTAAGTATGAGTATTTTAAGTTTCTTATGAGGAGTAGAATAATCAATATCTATGAGACAGTTTTCACCTATAAGAATAAAAAATTGCGAAAAATAGTCATTTTTAGTGGGCGTTTAGACATAAGAATTGTAATATTTCGAAAAAATGGTGAAAAAAAATAAGTGAAAATGGTATTTGAAAATTATGGTTGTTTTTTGACATGAATATAATTTTGGGTTGTTTTTGAAGTTTTGTGAGTGATCTGAGTGAAAATTTTGAAAAACAGTTTTTTGAAATTTTTTAAATTTTCGAAAAATTCTAAAATCCATTTTCAAGTGAAAATTTGAAAATTTATGACCAAACACTGATTTAGGAAAAAAATAAAAAAATTTCGAAAAAAGTTAAATTTTTCTTATGTCCAAACGGGTTCTTAAACCATGAAAAAAGTGCAAGTAACTCAACTTGCAGGACATTGTAAAATATAGATGTTTAGAGTAGCCACAACGGGCTCTTATGTTTAAAATAGTTATTAAAAATATTGTGATTACGATTAAGCTTGATTTTTCAAAGAATGACAAGAGAGAGGATTGATAAAGGTATAATTAATTATGAAGTAATAGAAATCATGATGGTTAAAGGTACAGAGAATTATGAGATCCTCACAGTGGTGTTGACAGAACTTACATGTAGTGTCAACAACGATATTCCTAGAGTAGAGGAAACAAAACGTAGGTAATTTGCCATGAAAAAGGAGCCACAAAAAATATTTAATTTTATTGGTGGCATGGATTTTTTCTATAGCCAATTATGTGGGAATTCAGTGGTGTTGTGTAACGACCCATTCGGTCATTTTGAGCTTTAGTGTAATGATCCGATCGGCCATTTTGAGTATTTGCATTCGCTCGGTGGTTTGAGGGCATGAGTAGCTCTGTATGATGTATTATGACTTGTGTGTATCGTCGATTTTAGTTTTTGGGTGATCCGAAATTAGTTTGGAAGAATGAATTTCATTTTTGAAGCTTTAAGTTGGAAGAGTTGATCAAACTTGACTTTTGTGTATTTGACCTCGGAACAGAGTTTTGATGGTTTCGTTAGATCCGAATGGCGATTTTGGGTGTTTCTAGATGGGTTTGACACTATTTGGCAAAAGTTAGAAATTTGAAAGTTTGAAATGTTCATAAGTTTGACAGGGAGTTGATTTCGATATTAACGGGTTCGAATTGTTGTTTCGGGAGTTGGAATAGGTTCGATATATTATTTGTAACTTGTATGCAAAATTTGGATTCAGTCCGGATTGGTTAGGTTTGAATCGGACGTTTGGTTCGAAGTTTGAAGTTTATGAACTTAAGAGATTGATCTTGGTCGACGATTAGTGGTTTTGATGTTATTATGTGCGATTTGAGGCCTCAAGTAGGTCCGTAATATGTTTTGGGACTTGTTGATATGTTCGCACGGTGTCTCGAGAGGTTCGGGTGAATTTCAGGGTGGTTTCAGACCACTTTTAGTTACTGGTTTTTGGCCACAGGGGTGTGCATCGCGGTCGCACACTTTGGGTCGCGTTCGAGAAGAGCAAATTGTTGTTTGGGCATTGTGAATCGCGATCGCGGAAGCCTTTTCGCGATCGTGTAGAAGAAAATTCTATTGTCACTGACCCGTTTTTGAAAGCTTATATCTTGCAATCTATAAGAAATTTGGAGATGATCCAAAATGAAAGTTGTAGCCCTTTGTTCTAGATTTCGGAAAATCAAACCGTTTGTCATTTGGAGTTTTGTACAAAAAGTTATGGTCGATACACTACAGGCTATCTGAGAAGAGTTAGGGAAGGGTAATGAAAATTATTTCATTGCGATCGAGGGGAAATAGCCGCGATCACGAGGGGTAAAATGTGTGCTGAAATTTTTTTGAATCGCGATCGCAAAGGGTACCCTTGGAGCAATGTTTAAAGTACTCTATTTCGAAGGTCTTGGTCATTTTATCATATTTTGAGCTATGAAACTCAGATTTGGGCGATTTTGGAGGCAATTTTTACCACATCGATTGGGGTAAGTATGTTTTATCCAGTTTTGATTATATTTCATGAATCTATCTTCGATTTTGGCATTTGGATTATGAATTTTAAAGAGAAATTGAGAGTTTTTGTCTAAACTTTCATAAAGAAATTTTTTAAGTTTTGAACATCGATTCGGAGTCGTATTTGAGTGAAATTAGTATGGTTGGACTCATAATTGAATGGGTTATCGAATTTTATGAGATTTATCAGGGATTCGAGGTGCAGGTCTGGGTTTGACTTTTTGGTTGGCTTTGAGTAAACGAGTAAAGATTCAACTTTTATCATTTAGGATTATTTTCTTAGGCATTATTTAATGTTTTTGAGTTACTTTTGGCTAGTTTCGAGCCGTTCGGAGGTTGATACACACGGGATGACATTTCTAGAGTATCATTTGGCTGCTCGGTATTTATCTTGTCTTATTTGAGGTAAATATCTTATCTAAACTTAGTTGAGACACTAGTTATTTGCATTATTTGTGATAGCTACGTGCTATGAGTGCTCATATGTGTGGGGTTGAGCCCATGTGCAAGCACCGAGGTGTTTATCCATGCTCATGATAATGCTTAGGCTATGATATGCCTAGAGTTGACTGTTAAGCTTTAAGTTATAATGTTTCTCATATTTTTATCATTTTTGTGAACTATTTGAGTCATGTTTGAGATTATGAAGAGGCTAATTCCCAGAATAAAGTTGGTAATTGCTATTTCTGTGATAAAATTGCCGATTTGAGCTATGATAGCACACTTTGCACATGCCTATACTTTATCATATTATTATACCAGTCCAGAAGCATTAAATCTGATAATTATTCATCATATACACGTGTTCTTGTATACTTGCTTCTGTGTGATAAAATATGGACTGGATGCATGCGATCATGCAGGGCGGATTGTGTTGTTATGCATGTGACTACGCCGGGCAGATTGTGTTGTTATGCCCGTAACCAAGTCGGGCGGATTGTGTTGATATGCC